AGAGCAACACGGTATGGGGTTGGCACCGCCAGTGGCGGTGTGCACCGCTTCAATGCGACGGTGCACCGCCGGGGGCACCGCCACCCTGTCCGGTGGCACCACCACTTTTCGGCAGAGAGTAGAGGAAGGCGAGGGGGTCACCGCCTAGGCACCGCCATGCCTAGGGCGGTGCACCGCCCTATTTTTCCTGAGAGTGGGGACTTCGTGGGGTTGGCCTGGGTGGTCACTGCCACCCCTAGGGCGGTGCCACCACCACCCCTGTTCGGTCATTGGAATTTGACTATTGGGGAGGGCGTCGCCATGTCCAGTGCCAGGCACCGCCGTATCCGGTGCCCTCACAGAAACCAGCAGCTTTGCTCTAACGGCTCTATTTGGCTTGGGGGCTATAAATAGAGGTGGAGCTCGGGCTTGGGTTGGTTGCAGAGCACCCTTAAGCCTTGGTGGCTTGTGTAGTAGTGCTTGGATGCCCTCTAACTCACTTGTGCTTATAAGACTGCGATCCGATTGCGAGTGTGTGTGATTGTAGTGCTTTGCATCGTGAGGTTGCATCGAGTGGCACTAGGTGTTCGAATTGCAAACCGATGGTGCTTGTTACTCTTGAAGGTTGCCACCTCCTAGACGGCTTGGTGGTGGTCTCCGTCGAAGCGCGCAAAGAAGATTGTGTGGTGCTCTAGAGAAGTGATTGTGAGGGGTATTGTGCTCACCCCGCGGGAGCCACAAAGAGTAACTCTAGTAGAGTGAGACGCGAAGGGTGACAAGTGGTCCGGCCGTGTCAAGTGCTAGAGCTTGTGGTAAGCACTCCATGTGGGAGAGTGTGACTTGCGGGTCACCACTAGCAAGAGGACCGGCGCCAACCTTGGAGCTTGTCTCAACGGGGACTAGCTTGGTGGCAACCAAGTGAACCTCGGGATAAAAGTCACCGTGTCATCCCTGTCTTCCCGTTGGTTTGCATTCCCCTTACATAAGCTCGTAATTACATTTATATACATCGTGCTTGTGTAGTTGCTCTTGTATTTAGTTAGCTTGTGTAGCTTTTACTAGTTACCTTCTTGCTTGTGTAGCATAGAAGTAGCTCCCTTGCGTGACTAATTCGGTTTGAGTAACCTTGTTAATCACATTGCTTAGTTTGTGTAGCTAAGTAATTTGCGCTTTATAATTTGGCTTGTGTAGCCTTGTTATTGAGCTTTGCTAGTGAGCTTAGGTGTCTTTGTGCTTTTGCTTACTAGATTGTGTAGGAGCTCCCCCGGTTGCCAAAGTACTAGTTGCATAAGTTTGTGTGATCTTGCAAGCTAGAATTATTAGATGAGTTCTAGCTAGCCCGGCACCTTTGTTGCCTAATTAGGATCTTTATAAGGTTGTCGGGTTCATAAACCTGGGGTTCCCAATGGATCCGCTTCCCTACAAAACTCGGCCCAATAGGCGGCGCAGCGACAACACGTGCCTAGGCCGGCCTAGATACACAATGACAGGTCAAGACCGCGATCTGATTCCTGACCAGCACCTTCGACCAGGAGATCTGATCGGAGGTGCGACCGGAAGGCCTGGTCATGGTGGGACCGCAGCCTGACTCCGACCCCCTTTCTCCGACCGAGAATACGACAGGACCTCTGCTCGCTGCTCTTTCCTGACCAACACGATCAGGGACGACTGGGAACAATCGACCGGGACACCCGCTCGGTATGGGCCCGGGGAGCAGGCGAAGCAGATAAGGTAAGGCGCTCAAGTCAACCGCAATACCGAGGACCGTACCCTGCCATGCCCTGCGCACCTGCAGGATGGTGCCATCGGGGCATGTCAAGCCAACACGGTAGAACCTGCCAGGCGCGTAAGAGCATAAACAGTATTGTGGGCGTCGTCGTTTGCCATACTAGGCGAATACGGTAGAGCCTGCCAAACACGTATGAGCATAAACAGTATTGTGGGTGCCGTCATTTGTCGTACCAAGCGAACACTGTGCAGCCTATCAAATACAACAGAGCATGAACAGTAAGCTGGGCGATGACGACCCTCCCGTACCCGATGGCGTGGGCAACAAGACTAGGCAACGCCCGTATGCACTCTCTCTTTCTCTCTGACTTGTAAGGTCATCCCCTTCAACTATAAAAGGGGATGCGCTCTCTCCTACCAAAAGGGATCAAAGACTCGAGGAGTCGAGGACAATAGCACAACGACTTTAGAGCTCGACAACTACACAGTCTACACGCTCTCAACAGCTGATAAGCTCGGACACACAGAGCATACGCTCTGATACTTAGCGCACGTTTGAGCATCCGTCACTCTCTTCCACTCGGTTCAGAGTCTGACCGGGCCTCTAACACCCCATCCTTCTCATTTCTTACTCGTTTGTAACCCCACAGCAAACTTTGAGCACCTAGGCTCAGGAATAAAGTCACCGACCGACCTCAACTGGACGTAGGGCCTGTTGCCTGAACCAGTATAAATCCTGTGTCATTGAGTGCTAGGCCACATCCGATTACAACGCACGGCAAAAACTACAAATATTTACTTGTTGGCCATATTTCGCACCGACAAAGGTGCTTGTGAACTTAGATAGAGGGGTGTAGTCTTGGCTAGACTGATAGTTTTAATTCTGCTTTTGTTTCGGTTAGCCGGTGCGTTTAATTTTAGAAAGGACTATTCACTCCCCTCTAGTCCGCCATCTCGATCCTATAGTCGGTCCGTGGCTTTGGGAGCCACCTCCTAGGCTTCGTCAGTGGCGATGCAGGGGTCGGCGCTTGCTTTCGGGCTCGGCATTGGGTTTCTTGGCGGTGTTGGTACAATCGCCACGGTCGCAGAAGAGGCTGCTCTTGTCGATGTCCAATATCTAAGTGAAAACTCTGCTTGGTTACTCCGGGCCGGCGGCGGTGGCGCAGCCGCGTCATATGCCTTCTTGAAGGCGTCGTCGAAGTTCTTGTTCGTCCGAGCAGGCTGGGGTCGTAAGACCTATTGATCCCACTGCGTCATTCGCCGGAGTCAGCCCCTGCCTAGTGTTGCCCCTTGCTGTGCTAAGCCTGATTGTGCTCCATGCTAGTCTTCACTTCGGTTGGTCCAGTAGTTGCCTAGTGTTGCCGCAATCGTTTGCTTCTCTGTAGTGGATGCTTTGCCGCTGTCGCTATTCTTCGATGAATGCTTTGCCGTCATGTTGCTCGGGCGGTTGCCGTGCCGCTTGGGTCTCCTGTCTCAGGCAGATGCTTTGCTATGTTGTGAGCGTGATGGCCCCCCATCCGCGGATGCTTTGCTGCGTTGATGGTCGTCGTCTCAGGCGGATGCTTTGTCGCCGTGCTGCAGTTCTAGCGGATGCTTTGCCGCCTGGGTCTCTTCTCTAGCAGATGTTTTGCCGCCGTTATCATGCTAGGCGCCCTTGGCGGATGCTTTGCCGCCGAGGTTGATGCTGGCCTCGTCGCCTTTGCGGTCTTCACTACACTACTAGCCACCGATGTGTCGTCTTCCTGTATTAGGCTTAGCCGGTTGGGGATTTTAGGTGGAGGGTTCCCCCCTCCTCCCCTCGTGTTTTCTTTGCTTTTGTTTGTGCCTGTGGGATTTCGTTGGTAATCCTAGGATTTATTGCGAGTCATATGTATCTTTATACCAACTCTAACCTCTCTTAATGAAGCACGTGCCAAGCGCGCTTTAAAAAAAAGAGTTGAAAAGAGCCTCTGTCTAGCAATTCATAATCATTATTTCAGAATTCAGATTTCTCACCCACCGACTAATCCCTAAAAAAAAAGTCATATTCCCACAAAGAGACTCTCTCCTTCTCACCTTATTCTCTCTCCCCTTTGCATTGTATTCTCTCTATCTAACACTTGCCCATCGTGCCTGTATATATATACTTACATGCTGTGAGCATGTGACCTCACCCCAGCGGCTTGGAACTCGGAGGTAGCAAAGCGTGGGTGAAAGATGTTTGAGACGGAGGAAGGGGGAGGACCAAGAGGTGTGCTCAAGGTCAAGGTAGAGCAGGATCAGCTGGAGATGCCGGTCCATAGCCAGGTGAGGAAGATCAAGCAGGAGGAGGAGGCGGCCAGGGAGCTCCTCCTGAGACTCCAGCTGCTGGAGATGAGGCCGCCCACCGGCTTCCGCGAGCTTGTGGCGCGGCAGGCCTCGCCGTCGCCCCTTCGCCGCTCTGGGCAGGCAATCTCGGTTGGGGACTGATCAAGGCCCTGCCTTCCCTAGCCTCTCTCGGCTCGATCAACGGGGTTGTACATAGGTAGGTGATGGTTCTTCAGTGTCAGTGCGCTGCCCATGCCCATCCATGTCTTGCAGCATATGGATACCTGAGTTAGGCTGTTAACTGTGATGGAGATAGTAGTCGCTGTGTTCTCAGTTGTGCGATGCAATGTAAATATTTGCTGCGTTTGCTTGCTCGTCAGCAATTTTTTGCTGGCTGAAACTAGTGTCAGACAGGGTTGCAGGACCGGGAGACCTCAGGCACGAGGGACAGCAACCACACGTCGCACACGGCCAATACGCAATCTGGACCATCTAGTAGGGGGAATTAATCATTAATGCCAAGTGAGGAAAAATGAGAATATACGTGTTGCCAAGCTACCATTAGTACGTGACTGTAAATCCTAACCCATGATGTTGGCTACAAGGCAGGTATGTGAAAGATGCATCGGACTAGACTCAGCGAGCATCAACATCAGCGTAGACAAAACGCCGATAAACTGCAGTTTAATAAAAACAACACGATGCAGCGAAGGCACATCGCAGAGCAGAATAGACCGGGTGCAGATTTTGGCCAATGATGATTATTCTAAAGCATGAACCTAACAATTAACACCATCTCCAAAGCAACCGATACAAAAATAAACACATCAGGTTGCAAACTTCATGCAAACACTACACACTGGCAATCTTTTGTTCGAGTTTACTACAGAGGGTCTAGTTTTCCTGAAACCAAAGCACAAAGCATGTTTCCTTGCTCCCAGAAAATGACGGATAAAACCACAATCTTGCAGCAGACGTCATCTACCGGTCTTGCAATCAATCGGTTTTCATGGCCTCCGCGTGATAGCTTTCCAGGTCTTTGTCCAGCTCATCTGCAGTCCTCTCAGGCTTCTTCCCTCTGCCACGGCCCTGGAACTGACCACGGCCCCTGCCCCGGCTCTGGAACTGGCCACGGCCCTGGAACTGACCACGGCCCCTGCCCCGGCCTGGAACTGGCCACGGCCTCGACCAGCTTGGAAACCACCACGGTTGTTAAACCTGTTGCTGGGATTACTGGAGCAGCAATATGTAAGGTCATGGGTCAGTACAAAAGACCAAACAACTTCTTTGTACTCTTTAAAAAAACATATTTTTAGTGTTTAAGGGTGCACCAACTCAAGAGAGATGTTCAGCCATAAAAACAAGTTAATAACTAAAGTACCCCTCTTTCCTCTCTCTCTTTTGTCAAAAATGAAAAGTCCACTCAATATACAAAATTTGACCTCGCAAAACATTATAAATCTTCAGTGCGTCCAGTACATCTGTACCATGCAAAACATGTTTTCTTTGCATGAGAAGCAAGGACTCACTGTTTAATTAGCGACTTGCAACCAGCACAGTGTGTTTGTTTATAAAAGAGTGCCCAGGTGCCAAAAATCTAAAGCTAACAACAAACATCAAGCTATTGCTACACTGAAAATATGATGGCATTGTAAACTACTAGTAACAAGGCATGAGATGGACTAAGGCACTAAGCTAAGCAAATAAAAGAGACCACATTTATCTAGTATTAAATGCAACGAATTACAAAAAAGTTGGCTTTGACAGAAGCCTTACCTTAGAGGTCTACTGCTTGAACCTCTGCCACGTTGAGTAAACTCAGGCCTGAATTATAAAAATATTGAGTCAGGTGCACCACCCTACAAAGTAAGGGGATAAAAAGGAAATAACATGGTGCTTGAATTCAAGTTCACATTGAAGCCACATATTGTGCATTCAAGCTGTGATGTCAAACTGCTAAAGGAAATAAAAAAAAATTGTAACAGTTCAGAAATTCACATTCCAAATTAACTATAGCATGATCATACTGCATCACATAACACCTGAATCTTTTATAATATATGTAGGAGGAATAATGACAAGTTAAAATGCACATATCAAAAAATATGCAGATATCTGAGAAACTTGTTATAGGACTTCCAGATCAGATATGGTAGAAGGAAGACTAGTTTGCTGTAAAGCAGTATACTCTGCCAGCAACAAGTTTTTTTTATAACTTATGGTTAAACTAGTGACAAAGGAACACATAATGTTTGTTATAGTGATCTAGCCAGGATTTTAGGGCAAGTCTTTTGTACTTGAAACTTAACAAGAAAATTCAGCATGACAGTTTACAGAAGATTGTCCTAAATGAACTAATTAGCTTGTCCTAAATGAACTAATTCCAAGCTAAAATGAACTTTGTAAGTATAGCAACACAGTTTATGATTGGACTACAGATAAAATGAAAAGATACATGATATGTGAAATGTCGAAGTACCACTTACGTCATAACAACTGTTCTTGTAGCTCTGCCATTAGAAGCCCCAACAACATTTATACGGGGTGTCATAGGCAAGCCTAAGTCACTTCCAATGACTTCTATCTTCATAGCTTTTCCATCAAGTAGAACATTATTATAACGCTTCAGTGCACCAATTGCATCGCTCCTCCGTGTAAACACCACCTCTGCAGTGCCCTTTAAAATTAAAAACACATATATTAATATAACAATTGAGGAAAATAAACATAGCTAAAAAACTGTAATAGTAACCAGAGAAGGTAATATAAACATAACATAGCCATGCAGTGTTTCATCAAAAGACACCACGACAATCACCAGGTAAAATTTCTTCAGCTTTATTCTGCTGCCGATATTAATAGGTTCAAAGCCAAAATAAGATGGCCTTCTGTACTTGCAGCCAGGCATGCATAACAGTATGGCAAGAACCATATGTGAGCCATAAGTCAAACATTCTATTGTACTACTCTTGTTATCTAATCCTCATGATCACAAAGGCTAGATACAAATTGTTCTAGGAATCTAGCTACAACTCTTACCACAAAATAAAAATAATGGCAATTAACATGTGAACATATTCATCCACAGCTATCATCAGAAAGATAAAATCACTGATGAGTAATGCAGTAAATATTTTACTGCCATTATAAGTGAGCGAGCATAAAACTCTGCTTGTTTTCAATAAACTATATACATTCGGTGCAGTGTAAACAAATGACAATTCAATAGGGATTCACATATAATACCAAGCTAGATGATGCCAACAAAATTAAAACTAAAAGCATATTGAAGGCTCTATTAAATAAATATATACATGAAGTAAAGATGGATTTCTAGAAGGTACGAACATTTGGGCGGCCATAACCATCATAGTGAACAGCAAATCGTTTCAAATGGCCAACTTCCGAAAACAGCTCCTACAAGGCAATTGTGAAAATAAAATTTCAGTTTGATGGTTCTGTATCAAATAATGAAACAAAAGAGAGAGAAAACTAGGCTGCCAAGTTATTTGAACATACCTTTATATCCTCATTAGAAACCCCATAGTCCAAGTTTGAAATGTACAATTTTGTACCAGTTTCTATTCCACTAGCCGCCATGCTATCACTAAATAGATCAGGTCTCCAGGTCATGTCTTTGGTTCTGCTAAATGACTGAAAAATGCCAAACATCCAGCATGTGAGGGAACATGTCATTATAAAAGAATATCTCTTCGAACTGTTTCATATGATCATGCCAACTATCACGAACCACATTGACTTATAATTGATCTTTAGAGAAGAGTAGCGATAATTATAACCGAGAAATAGCAAAACCATGTAGTACTGCATTAAGTTAACAGCTGCGAGGGAAAGAGCTCCACCAATATCACAGAAGTCCAGGAGACAAATGGCTTAGAGCACTTGTTATGGAATCTGCCTAGAAGAACTTCCATGGGAGTATGGAACAAATCCAGAACTGTCGAATAAGGGGCACATTGCAGTTCCATATATGGCAAGAAGATTGATGGACTCTGCCCTTCAGCGTATCATGATTTAGACACATCAAACTGGAGTCCACAAGCTTTCTTTTTCATCTATTTCCTTCCATATGTTCAAAGAAATGGTGGTGTTCCAACAAAATTCCCATTAGAGATGACCACCATTTCCTTCTGCCCCTCAAATAAATGCAACCTTATGCTCTACCGCAAAATTTCTACCAAAGTTGCATCTGCCCCTCCAAGCCTCCAAACAATACTGACAGAATGCATTAGTCACAGACATCACAGTTACTCCTGCCCCTCCATATAATGTAAGCTTAGACATGTTCTCCTCATTCAGTTTCTACTTTACTCAGGAATCTGACCATGAACAAAAACATAGTGACAGATTTGGTCTTGCCTTAGCAATAGTGCGTGCAGATGGACGGGAGTTAACCCCAAGAGGTCCACGGGGAGGCAATCCTGATCTTCCATGCAGGACATGTCCACCTCGCCCACCACTTCCTTGAATACGGCCACTACCCCTATCTCCACCCCTTCTTTCGTAATATGACATAGCTCAAAGTTGTTACACAGTCAACCAACTGGCAAGCTACAAGTACAATGGCAACCTGCAGTAAAGATGGCAATGTTTAGATATGCAGGGGGGAAGATAGACATAGCTCTGAACTGTGCACTTGCAAGAAATCACACAAACATGTAACACAAGTTGGATATGGTGAGTATCTTTAAACACACTAAGTCTAATCAAATTGATATTGATAATAGAAAGAAAAACTATTGCAATCAGCAATGAGGAAACTGGATATAGACAAAATAAATAAAAGGTAAACGGATTGCACAAAAGGGTTTACTGACAGTCTGACATAGATTCAAAGTAACTAATGGACAACTTACACGAATTCTACAGAAGATTTCACAAACTGCAAACAACAATGAACTATACTTGAGACTTGAGATCAAACTGCTCAGTGCTCACATATGAAACATCAGGGTACAAGCCAATCTAAACTTAATACAGTTATGATGCATCATCACGGGAAAACAATTCAGTTTCCATGCAGCTTGTTCCAGTTTACCGTTAAAAAAAAATATTGAGTTCCTATGTAGCGAGCTTAGGAGAAATTCAAACTTGAGAACTGTTGTTAGGAGTTGTATTAAGCACTGAAGTTCCTACAAAAATGACAGTGGACACATTAAACAAATGTCATCGCCAGCAAACCAAACAGCTCCTACTCTCGATTCCAGAACCCATATTTTCGAACATTGGAAATTCCTGCGGTCTACAGCGAAACCCGCAACGGCGAGAGCGCAATCAGGGCTAACGGCTAAGGCACCGAAGAATTCCACAACAAGTACCGAGCTGTACTCTACAACCCTAAATCCCCCCTCAATCCCACATCGGCTCCCTCGCCAGCCCTACCATCTGCCGTCGAACAGATCGGATCGGTAAAGATATCATCACGAAGAGCGCACGGGGCGGGGGAGGCAACTTACTCTCGCGGCGCGAAGGGGTGTTGGCGATTGGGTGGAGAATATTCTTCGGGGCGCTCCCGGCCTCAGTCTCCTCGAGCCTCCGCCAGATGCCGCGAAGAGGGAGGGGGAGGGGGCGGAGGCGGCGCCGCAGAGGGAGGGGCAGAAAGAAGGGGGCAGGATGCGGCGTGAGTCTGGAATCAAAACCCTAGCTCTCGATATCCCTGTGAGATGGGATTTGGGAACGAAGCGAATAAAAACGGGGGAGGGGTGGGGCGTAGACTCGGGACTCGGGACTCGGGAGAGAGGAGAGGTGTCGAGCTCGTTCGGACTCGGGACTCAGGATGGCAAGGCAGGTGCGTATCCGCCAGCCAGCCATCCTGGCCGCACCCGCCAGATCAAAATCTTACCCCCGGGTTACCTGTATGCCTGTAAAATTCATTCCATACTCAAGCGGGTAATTCTTACCCGAAAATATACGGCACACACCAAAATATAATAGCTTTCAAGTCAACAATGATAAAAGCGTGGGTGGACAGAGTGAGGATGATGATTAGGGTTTAAGAGAGTTCTAGAATATATATACTCATATGCTTATATGGACCAAATATGAGATATATCTTTTATGGGCTAAAATTGAAAATATTATTTATGAAATTTTTTTTACCAGGATATGCGGGTATGGGTAGTATACACCTAATTCATATACCCGATGGGTACAAGAATTAAATCCATAACGTCTCAAAAAATGTCTTCCATATTTTAATACTTTGACTCGGGTTTGTTTTTTTAGTCTTGACTCGAGACTTAGAGCCAGCGATCCTGGCCGTGGGAATATGCTCCCCGCAAGGCTGTATGCCTGTATGCGTGGCAACGTCTGAAATTGACGGCCTCGATTGGTTTGGTCGTGGCCTCGTGGGGACAGCAGGAGAGGGTTAACGATAGGCCTCTCATCAAACGACGGACCGGAACAAGACTTTTTTTATTGAAAAAAATGAAATCTTTGTTCTGCACCTAACCTAATTTACATCCGGTTAGGTTATTTCTCAAAAAGATTATATTTTAATACTTTGAGCAAGTTTTTTTTAGTTAGATTAGATAGAGGCGATGTCCGCCTTGCTCAAGGTTTGTTGGCACTGACTAGACGCCGAGTCAAAATCTTTCTTCCGAAACTTATACCTGACGTACTATTGGGATAGGTTATTTCTCATAATTTTCTTGTATTTTTATACTTTGAGCTATTTTTTTAGGTTAGATCGGATCATAAGATAGACACAAAGTTCACGTCACCGGCAGTACTGCACTCATCTTATTCTCTAGAGGAGGCACCTCCTCCTCATCTGGTGACACCATGAAAACAAAACAAAGAAGTTGCACTTCCTCTTCCTCTTCCTCTTCCTACCAGACGGTGTAGAGCTATGTCCACCTTGCTCAAGGTTTGTTGGCATTGGCCGGGTGTACGATCCAGGTGATAACTAGAGGGGTGAATAGCTCATTAAAATTCTACAAGCTCACAAACACTAGATAAAGATTAGTACCAAAGGACATTGATTGATATAGTTAGATCAATGCTAAGTGAATAAAATGTGAGTGATATTGTTGGCCCCAAGTAATCAACACAGCTTGTCATGTTTGTAATAGACTATTGTCAGTGACTCTTGAAAAAGACCCATATGAGTTGTTGACTAGAAAGAAGCCAAATATCTTATAATTTCGTGTCTTTGATTGCATGTGCTATATTTTGAAGAAAGGCATAAGACTAAGCAAATTTGAGAGGAAGTGCGATGAAGGGTTCTTGCTTGATATGCATCAAATAACAAATCTTATAGAGTATAGAACCAAGACCCATGACATAGCTAACGAGGTTTATGATGTGGAGTTCGATGATACCAATGATTCACAAATGGAAGATGAAAATCATGTAGATGTGAGAGGTGCTAGTTGGTAAAGAAGCCGAGTAAACCAAGATGCATCCATATATGTGATGCTATTTGGTTGTCGATTGCATCCTGCATAGGTCTGGAATATCGACGCCATGACACGAAACATGCAGTGGTAAAGGTTTTTACAATACTGCCGCACTTTCGACATGTAGTGTAGCGGGCAACTCACGGCATCCACAAAATCGCTAGTTGATTTAGACATGATCTAATAGAAATTAAACAAGATGACAAAGAAAACTATTTAGCGAAGAATATGGTCAGTGTTATGCATGATAAGATGGATGGAACCACAGTAAGACCCAACATTTTTTGGTTACGGTATGCCTAGTATGCCTCATACAAACAGCCCAAAGAGCTTAACATCTAGAGATATTTTCTAATGGTTTTTATTCCCACGAAGGTCTTAGGGATATGAAAGTTTTAAACACTTGGTCACCTAGACATGTAGGTGTACAAACCTGGGCACCTAGACATGTTATAGGTGTACGTGCATCCAACGGTGACAAACCTGAAACAAAACAAGGCTGGCACAGTCGGCGCCGTAAAAAAAAATCCAGAGCATCAGGGCGGCGTCTCGTGCCGCTGTCATTTCGACCTCCCTCCTCAAGGCAACCCGCACCGACCACTCAAATACTGCCGACAACCGCCGCCCGCGGCCGGCCCCGCCTCCTCCCCGGGCGAGCCGCACGCCGCGCTCCTCCTGGCTCTCGGCTACATGCGGCTGCGCGAGCTGCTGGCCTGCGCGCACGCGTGCCGCGGCCTCCGCGAGGCCGTCGCGGGGGACCCGCTCCTCTGGCTGCGCCTCGTCGTGGAGCCGCGGCTCAGCCACCGGATCACGGACGAGGCGCTCGTCGCGTTGACGGACAGGGCGCAGGGGAGGCTCCGGTCACTCCACCTCCTCGGGTGCGCCCGCGTATCCGACGCCGGCCTGCTTGCGCATCGTCTAGCGCAACCCCGACGTCACCGAGGTACGGTGATGCTACTTGTGCGCGAAATTGGCATATAGTGCACGGACTGGATCGTTCACGGAATCATGCGAATGTAATGGTTAGTGCGCGGTTACTGGTTAGTGTTTGCTTGGCCGTTTAGGATTAGGAGTACTTGTGTAATGGATTTATCTTAACAATATGTTGATAATTCAGTGGGCATTCCATGATTACGATTATCTTATTCCTCAGTTTCCCATATAGATCAGTTATATTTCTCAATTTTCCGGACAGTACGGTAATTGATGAACTCGTTCAGTTGTTCTAAACAAACAAGATGAATATAGATAATAAAAACTAAAAAGGAACTTTCAACGCAAGGTTCAATTCCACTTGTCTAGATGGGCTCATGTTATTATAACTTAAAGAGGGCAATGGGGATATGACAAGTTTTACCCTTCAATTTAAGGTGTCTTTTTGTAGTTTTATTGCATTTGGATTGTTCCTGACAGTTAGGAGAGCCTGTCCTAAAATTTATGATAAGACCCAGATGCAGATCGGCTTGCCCGAAGAAACTTGCGCCACCTAACTCTTTGTCCTCACTGTGATCAAGAATGAAGAGACAATTGACCACCTGTTAGTTACCTGTGTGTTCGCAAGGCATTTTTGGTTTTGCCTCCTCAGACGGTTTGGACTCCAAGAGCTTTCCCCTTCAGCCGATGAAGGATGCTTTGCTGACTGGTGGAGCAAAGTGAATAATTTAGTTGATGGACAGGTGCAGAAAGGTTTAAACTCCCTGGTCATCCTCGGAGCATGGAGTCTTTGGAAGCATCGGAATCGATGTGTCTTCGATGGCATGGCACCTAATCTAGGGGTGGCCTGGATGCTCGCTACAGAAGAGCTTCATCTGTGGATGTTGGCTGGGGCTCGAGGGATGTCCTGCTTGTCCACCCTAGCTGATGTTGAGGTTCAGGGTCAGTTTGGTTGGATGTTTGGCTTTGGCTTTTGATCTAAAAAGCCAAAAGCCCAACCAAAGGGGTTGCTTTTGGAGGCTGCTTTTTCAGAAGCAGTTGTTTTTCCGTAGTACATTTTTGAAAGCTGGTTTGACCCTGCTTTTAGCTTTTGACTTTCTGTTTTTTGAAATTGGTGGAATAAAAAACTCTTCCATAGTTGTTTTAAGAGAAATAAAGATAGAAGGTATATTTTATACTTGTTTAACCAAACAGCTTTTAGCTTTTCTACAGCCCACAGCCCACAGCAAGCTTTCTCACAGCTCACAGCCCACAACAGCTTTTTCCCACAGCCAGAGCTCAACCAAACACACCCTCAATAGAGTTTGTGGTTAAGGTCGTTTTTTTTTTTTTAGCACCGGCAAGTCTGTAACCTTTTAAACCATCGTGCTTGGGGTTCTTTTCCCCTCTTTTTTCTTCTATAATATAATGACACGCAGCTCTCCTGCGTGCTCAATTTTTTGTTGTTGATCACAACAAAAAGTAAGTAAAAAGAAAGACATGCTTTGTCGCCTTGATACACAAATACAAGAAAAGAACTGCGACAAGTGTAATAGTATTAAGAATCTAAAAACAAAGGCCAGGCATATATCCAACCAAGTTAAAGTGGCCCCTAACTCCCTAACTCCCTGTTGTAACCATGGTTGATGGACAACTATCATCTAAATGAGACAACAATACATAATTATGAATAAAAATTATGTACTTGATGCCATGAGCTCATGAATTAGTGCGCAATAAAATATGAGAGAAGACTTTACTGATTTACTTACTCCAGTATTAGAGGGACAATTTTTTTTTTGAAAACGCAGGAGAGCTGCGCTTCATTGTATTAGAGAAGAAAATGGTCCCCATACATCCCACTTATCTCATACGGGGACCAAATATGAGAGGTGGTTTAAGCAACAAAATAAAGACGGAAAACTTGAGCCAAAAAATTAACATGACCCGACTGAAGCTACAAAGAAAACTAGATTCTACCACCAAGCTCTAAACCCTGCAGCTTCTTAGCTCCGGCTAGACACCAGAGACTATGTTCATCTTTGAACTCCCTTATAATTGATGTTACCGAAGGTGCAACACCCTTGAAGACACTTGCATTTCTATGCTTCCAGATAATCCAAGCGCCCAATATTATTAGAGAATTCACTCCCCTTCTATGCTCTTTCTCCACTCTTTTCATTGTCTTGCGCCACCAGTTGGCAAAGTTACCTTCATTCGGTCTAGGAACAGAACCAGCTAGACCAATTGGAGCAAACAATCTGAACCAGAATTCTCTTGCCACTACACATGTTGTTAGGAGATGTTGTATTGACTCATCTTCTTGATCGCAAAGAGGGCACTTGTAACACCCTAGGTGTTAGCCTTGCATAACTTGACTTGCATTGCATGAGCATGATCATCAAGCATTCATATATATGCATTTACACTTGAAACATTCAATTGAAACATGTGCAACATTTCTTAGTATTTCATGTTTTCATATGAATATGCATATGATTATGAGTGTATACATGTGATTGGTTGATGTGAGTCACTAAAACATATTAGCTACACTTACGATGACTAGTGGAACAATGTTCATGAAGATCATTTTGTCTAATCCAAGTACTCAAGTGATGCTATGTGTGTTGAACTGGATAGCCCTATGTGTGACCAATGCATGAAATGAGTATGTGACCTTGCAAATAGCTTAAACATGTATAGAGTATCATTATGAACAACTTTGGTATTCATGGCTAGGGCTAAATGAGTCACTAAGTCATAGTTCATGTACGAGTCATCTTTTTAAGGAAGCATGTTTGACCAAGTTTGAATCATATGCTAGAGACTTTGCATGTAGGTGGTCACTAAAGCAAAGTTGTAGTATTTTTCAAGAGGAACAACTTTTATGTTTGGGTCATAGACTAGTTTAGCTCCTAACATGCTTGAATTAGGCTCACAAGAATCATCAATTCCCTGTTTTCAACACTTAGCAAAATTTGTCTAAGTCATGTGCACTGACAGTTTGGTTGCGTCGACTTTGGGATGATAGAATTTGAGATGGGTTGAGATTCAAGGCATGAGTTCTAAACAACAATTGGAGCTGGTACTTCGGGCTTTAACATTGGTTTAGGAAGTTTTAGCTAACAGTCCACGGATTTAGAGAATTCTTCGCTGCAAAACACGCTGTCAGGCTTAACATCACAGTGACTGACGAACTGAATCAGCGTTCAGTGGCCGACCGGTATCAGGACAGAGCCACCGCGTGGAGCCAGCGGCTGGCTGTGTAACAGAACCGACCAAATCATAAGAACGTAAGTACAAAAACAATCACTAAAGCGATCAAATTCCTGTACTTAAGCTCCCATAATCCCGGTAGTCCAGAAATCACGAAGGATTTCAACCAACTCTCGACATACAAACCAAGATCGTAGTGATTCAACACAACACATCATCCGTTACAACATTTCATAAGTAGCATTCGGATTACATCCATCAGAGTTCAAATAAAATATTACAAACCAAGTTTGAGTGTGCGGAAGCAACATAGTTTAGTACAAAATATCATAGTTTTCAAATACATTGCCAAGTCTGAGTCATGTCCCACAAAAGCATTATCAGGTACGAGAACTAGTAGAGACCGCACCCAACGGTCTAGTCTTCATCCCCAGCTGGGAGAAGGCAGTACTTGCAGCAACCAAAGTAGAACTGGTCATCTGCAACAGGTGGGAGATAAACCCTGAGTACGAGAAGGTACTCAGCTAGACTTACCCGTCAAAACCAGAAATAAAAGACACCAAGGATCATGCAAGGCTTATGAGGTGGGCTAGCTTGACACAGTTGCATAAAAGAGCTTATGATTATAGTAACCAATTTAAACTTAGCATCAAGCTTATCATCATTTACCTGTCCACTAGATTAGCACATGTACTAGAGCACTCACTTATTAGGAGCAAACAATATTAACCATAGCAGGTATAATAAGGTTGTCATCATCATATCATCATTTCTAAACCATTATGTTATTTAGTGTATCTACATTGGAGATAAGCCCGTCAAGTTCTCACTAACCGGGAGAGACGGCGACTCGAATCGAATTACAACTCAGCTGAGGGGGTATTCCTAACTCTCACCCTGGCATACTTAGCAAGGGTAGCCGTGGGTCACCTTTGGAACAACTCAGGAACCAAATTCGCGGGTTCGATCAGCGCCATCACTCTCAGGGATTACCCTTCTGCCAGGACGATCAGGACTTTTAAATCACCTGCCCTTGGACTCACGCCTACGGCTCCCTTCTGAGGCGCACTTTATACTTATCGACTCCCGGCCTGAGGTGAGCTACTCGGCTTCGTGGTCGGTCTTCGGACACGTCCAACTAAGAGAGAGGCATGAGTTCAACATGAACAGGAAAGGCTCCAAGATTCAGTCCTTAATCGACACAGACGGAGTCACTGCAAACCGACAAGCCTCCGTCCAGTCTTCATTTCAAATTAAGACTGGTTCTTTTCCACGATAGCAAATATAGCCAACCGTGCCATATGTATCTTCCTATATCTCGCAGGTGACAGGAAATCACCTGACTTCTACCGTGTTTAAGCAGGACTAAGCACTACACGAGCCTGAGCTACATAGGATTCAGGGTATCAATATCTGGACAAGGATTGGATAACCAATGCAGCAAGTGTTTGCATCCAACACCTAAACTTAATGCAACAATATATATATGTAACAATAATACTTTAACTGCATTTTAGAAATTAGGAGGCTTAATATGCTCTGGGGCTTGCCTTTCACAAAGTTGCACGGACGGTGATCCGGGCACTCAACGGTGACCTCGTCTGGCACTTCTCCTGAAGGTTGCACCTCCTGAACCTCCGGTGTCGGCTGCTGCTGCTCGCTCGGTTCCTCGAATTCCAGCAAGGTCACTCCTTCTGGTACACCTATTGCATGCCGACGCACAAGATAAATATCATGGATGCATAAGGAATGACATGATGCTCATGATGAATGAATCACAGTAAGTGTTTAACGAAAACATCACTGGATACTCGTTTACCGATTAAGAATAGCTCTATTCAAATCACTTTAAAACAGGTATCTAACTTAACTTGAAGAACAAGATCAACTTACCTAACTTGCATAACCTAAGATAAAGATGCTCATCTTCCGTTAAAGGCCTAACACCTAGAAACATTACCACAACTTAGAAATAGTAAAGGCATTAAACAACAGTTAAA